ATCAAGAGATCATAAATTACTGAATGGGTGAACCCGAACGAAAAATCACAAAAGGAAAATTTGGATACCTACATTTTAAGCAAAATTTGGCCGAAGGCAATGTCACCAGAAAAAAAATTGATATCTGGATTCCGAGCAACAGGGCTATACCCCTTTAACCCAGATGTGATTGAAGAGGCTGCGTTTGCACCTAGTCTATTGACAGAAACAGAAACACTTCAGCTAAAACCAGAAGAAGAAGAGAATAATCAAAACAGTATTCCGACAGTGGATGACTCCGAATGGTCAGATTCCAATGACCTACCGCTCTCGATGTTGAGACAAAGAGAAAATCCTGGGCTGAATAAGAAACCTGCTGATTATCAACAAGTTAATGATCCACAATTATCATCAAAACCATCATGCTCACACTGGTCTGATAATCCTCCTTCTCCAAGTGACTCAGCCAATTCTTCCAGTTTCTGGAAACTACTTCCAATCCCTGAAATTAAATTCTTAGATAAGCCCAGGCGTAGAGCATTGAGCTCATCTGCTCAAGTTGTTACCAAAGATTTATTCAAAACGAATTTGTCAGCCACAATCTCTAAAAAAGAAAAACGAAGCTAAAGAATCCAAACCCCCTAAGTTCTTTTTTATGTATTATGTTCTTATCAAATAAATTTTTTCAAAAAAGAATTCGATTTTGAATATTTTTTAATGTTGGCCTTATTAGGAGCATAGTGATCCCAATAAGGCCAATGGTAAGCGTCTTTGTTTTACGCAAAAACCACCACTTATATAGAAAAATTAATAAATTGGGGTTAATATTCAAGTGATAGAAGCGAAACACTTCACATATAAGCTCGTGATTTTTCTTGGATATGGTAGATAAGTTGGAAAAAAAAAAACTTATTTGGGACAGGTACCTTAAACTTGTTTGCCCTCCCTTAAATTCCAAATTTTCTTTTGCGTATGTCAGTAATGTTTGTAATGTAAAATATTCATTTTTAGAATTGTATTTCCAAATTTGTCGTTGTAAATCTTCTTTAAACATTCGGTCCATAATAGTCTCTGTCTTTTTTGGTCGGCCTAAAGGTTTTTTGTTTGTATATTGTCCAGTCAAAATTCTTTGAATAGTCCTGGTTCCCACCTAAAAATTAAGGAAAATGTTGGTTGGGTAAGAAATGGCTTCACATTTACATTTAATAGTCCCCAGTACATCGACCTTAAAATTTTGTAACTCATGTACACGCCCAACTTCCTGAGCGGCTTCATAACACCAAGTCGGACAATAATTTTCATGTCTCCACCCTGGGCGATGGGACATTGCTGCGCTAGCTCTTCGTGAAGTTGTCGTTCTGACGTCCCTAAGGAAGTTGATACATGTACGTGTAGTTTCAATGCTAATCGACTGTTTTTTACATTACATTAACGATATCACATTTGTCGGACAAAAACCATGTGGCTTTGGGGAAGGTCCGACACCCCCAACATGTCGCTGTGGCGTCCCTAAGGAAGTTGATACATGTACGTGTAGTTTTAATGCCAATCGACTGTTGTTTGTATCACATTAACGATATCATATATGTCGGACAAAAAGCACGTGGCTTCGGGGGAGTCCGACGCTCTCAACATGTCGCTGTGGCGTCCCTAAGGAAGTTGATACATGTACGTGTGTTTTTAATACCAATCGACAGTTTTTTACATTACATTAACGATATCACATTTGTAGGACAAGAAATTTGAGACAATCAATGAAAAAATTGAAATTAGTTTGCCTTAACGCAACGTGCATATTAGTCAGTTTATTATTCACCACCCAAAGTTGTTACTATTTGTAAAGTGAGCTTTCGGTGAACCCAAAATCCATGACGATATCAATTTTGACATTTCTCCGCTCATGTCCCACTGGGAATGATCATTAAAGAACTTAGATTCATAATCTTTATGTGTAGACATATTTGCAAAATTCTTATCAGGAAGAATAATTGATACATTTAAAATTCTTAGATTAATGTGGAAGGACATTTGTTACGAGTCTTAAGCTACATGGAGTAGTTGTTGAAATTGGTTTGCCTTAACGCAACGTGCATATTAGTCAGTTTATTATTTACCTACTTTGACAAATACCTGTGGGGCCCTGTGTCATATTCCCTGATCTGTTTTTTTGATAGTTCTCCGAGTATTTACGGAAATTATTCTGTAAACGGTCATTCAAAACCACGCGTGTGAGAAAGAATGGATATTCAGTCGTGTTTTTTGTGCGATTTCAGAAGTGAAGATTCTGAATTTCGGCAGAAATTGATCAAAAGGACTATTGTTGTCCGACTGACTTTAATACTGATTTTATTTGTCCGACATTTACTACACATGTTTTAAAATTACAGTGTTATTCATAATTATTTTTGTCGGACATACATGTATCATTTTCCTTAGGGACGCCACAGCGACATGTTGGGGGCGTCGGACCCCCCCCCAAAGCCACGTGATTTTTGTCCGACCTATGTGATATCAATAATGTAATATAGAAAACAGTCGATTTGCATCAAAACCACACGTACATGTATCAACTTCCTCAGGGACGCCACAGCGACATGTTAAGGGCGTCGGACCTTCCCCAAAGCCACATGGTTTTTGTCCGACAAATGTGATATTGTTAATGTAATATAAAAAACAGTCGATTGGCATTGAAACTACACGTACATGTATCAACTTCCTTAGGGACGTCAGAACGACAACTTCACGAAGAGCTAGCGCGGCAATGTCCCATCGCCCAGGGTGGAGATATGGAAAATATTGATATATTGAATATATTTCCTAACGAGTGCGCAAAGTAAGTATTGTTCGCACGCTGACTGCAGTTGACCGAACGACGCGGAGCGGAGTTCGGGCAGCAGTCGAGTGCGAACAAGACACTTTGCGCAAGAGTCAGGAACAATATTTTTTCTACGAGCGAGAAAATTTATAAAAATAAAAAATGAGACAATAAACTTTTAAAAAAAGATTCAAAACAAAATACCCATTCAAAAACAACCAAAAACTAATTATTTCATTTGATTATTGTGAACGATATTGAGAGATTTTTCGGACGACCTTTGGGGTATCAGACTATTGCAGGCACTGGCGGCTCTATCTAAAATAGGTTGTATTTCCTCGTTCGCTTCTGCTGCAATGTTTTCCATTTTTTTGCGAATATCTAGGCTTAGGCTCACGATGTAGTTAAAATAACGACCAAAGAAAAGATGATAAATTAATTTGTTTGACACTGACGTGACAGACCTATAAACACTGACGGCAAATGTCGTGCAATCATAAGGCCTGTTTCCACAGAAATCACAAACCAGTCAGACCGAATTTCATTCGTTAAAAATAGTCAGAAAACTGGTTGTTGGCGATTTGCACCAATCAAACTTGCGCTGACAGGTTTGTGATTTCTGTGGAAACAGACCTTTTAACGGTACGTGAATATTTTTACTGGTACTTAGTCAAAATTAAATCTTGTCAGCACTAGTGCGCAAAATTAACTCTTTTCCGCACTAGTGCGCAAAATTAAATTTTGCGCTACCAACTGCGTGTGCAAAGTACCTATTTTGCACACGCTCGTAGAAAAAAGGTTTTTTAGGTATGTACCTTCTTACTAAAACGATGAAATTTCAAATTTTTTTTGTTGAGATTTTGTATCCTAATGGTCAATTAGCATACCTACCCCAAACTCAATACACTAAATTATTCTCAGATTGAAGCCAAAATCTATGGAAAAAGGCACTCAGAAAAATTGAAAAATTGATAAATCACCCCAAATTGCTTTACACAATTTTATCTGAGGAACTATAAGTGCAAATGAGCTGAAATTTTTAGAGATTGTAGTCCTTTGAAAGGGATAAAATTCAGTGAAAATTTCAGCTTTCTATCTATAATAGAAAAAAAGTTATGACCTTTCAAATTTTTCCAAAATCTAAATCATAAGGTACCTAGGTACCTTCTTACTAAAACGATCAAATTTCAAATTTTTTTTTGTCGAGATTTTATATTCCAATGGTCAATCAACATACCCCAAACTCCATAGACTAAATTATTTCCAGATTGAAGCCAAAATCTATGAAAAAAGGCACTCAGAAAAATTGAAAAATTGATAAATCACCCCAAATTGCTTCAAAATGTAGATTAAACTTACAAATTGTTTCCTAACAAAATCCTAGAAATCACACATGTAACAACATTTTGGTCATCGAATAAATTATTCTATAAATAAAATGCCAGGCCTCTGCGACACAAACAAACTCCACAGTGGCTTTTTGTGACCCCAAACCCTCGTTTGCCTCGAAAATAAAACCACGAAATAGTTGACTTTTCCACCGCTATTTTACTGCCCTAAAGGCTACAAATTTGTCGTTAAATAGTCACCCCAGAATTGGACCCTGGACGATTGTCCTTTTGTTTTTTTGTTTGGTAGGTGTTTACCCAGTCAATGTCTCTATAATAGGAAGTTTCGATTTATTAAGAATCTGAATGGAATTATTGTGGTAATGGTACTTCTTATGGAATATAGCTAAAATGCAATCAGAAAATCAAATGATTAGAAACATTTCTCCAAACAAATAGCACAACAACAACTTAGATTCATGGTTTCCCGGCAAAAAAAGAAAAATGTAAATTGCCCTATTTATATTCCGCTGACTAAATTTGGTCGTTTAAACCCATAAATTACCTGTATTAAATGGTTCCATTTGCTTACTTTGCAGTACAGGCACTTGAAAAAATAGAAAAATAGAGTTTGTTTATTGTAGATATTTAAACATCAATCATCACAACATTAAAATAAATTAAATAACTTTTTTTTATCAAACAAAAGCTCAACTCTGACCTTAATTCCAATGAAATTTATGCATATACATGATTTCATATTTTGGGCTCCGGGGATTTTTTGCGTACTGTGAATTACCAGTACCGACCGAGAACTATATAAGAGGTACCTTACCTAGATGCCAGTATCAGTCTCAAACGTGCTCTGAAATAACAAAATGCAAGTGCAACTTTTCAGTTTTGTCGTTTTGGCAATAATTGCCACAGTTTTTGCAGTACCGTCGGTCATTGTTGAAGATGAAGAAGGCCAGCAGTACTATTTGACACCAGTATTAAGTCGCGAAAGAAGGTAATTTTTTGTTGAGATATTTCTTGTTATTAGTAATTCATATTTTTTTATGTATAGACAAGCTCAAGGATTTGGACAAGGCGGCGGCAACGGAAAAAGTCAAGGTGGTTTCGCTGGATTCAACAATCCCAATGGTGAGAACCTAACTCCAATTTTTAAAATTTTCAGATAAATTGTATTGTAATTTCCAGGATCCGGAGGAAGTGTTGGTTATGGTCACGCCAACGGTTATGGACACACTTTAAGTGTAGATGGTATGGTGCCGGTTTGGTCGAACAAAAACCGACTTGGTGAGTCCACTTTGAATGTTGGAGGTGGCGCTACTCACCATTTTGGAGGCCCGGGAGGCAGTCAGAACTTGGACAAACGGGTCGGAGTTAATTTCAATCATAGATTCTAATTTTGTATATCATCGTATTTTTTTTTTAAATAAAAGTTGCCAAATATATGTACATGATTTTTTATACCTATACCTTGGGAAGGAGCTAGCTTTTTCTCCAATGAAGGTAGTTTCAATTGGGAATCAAAAAAATATATATCTATGCCTATATATCCTAAAATAATTAGGTATTTCATTCTAAGGACTGGTTTATCAATAGTCAATTAACTAATGATAATTATTAATTAACTGACAGCTATACTAGATAACCGTCCAATAAGCAGTTTTATTTCTCGTTTATAGAGAAACTATCCGTTCTATATAATACCAGCTCAACTTTTCATCCATTGTTTAACAGAGTATAATCCGCGCGGTGTCGTCGTAAAAGTTTGATCGATTAAAGGGGGCTCTAACTTACCTATAGTAAAGTATGGGGGTCCCACTCTGGAGCCGCATTTCTTCTTTACCTCACAAACTACTGCGTGGTCGGAATACACGACGCCCAGAGCTTCTCGTTTTTAGTAAGTAGGTACAAAGAGGCCCGGGGATAAAAAGCTTTTCGATTCTCCCGCGGGATAACACGGCAAGAATTGAAAACAATGAAAAATAAAAACACAGTGGAGCTTACGATGATCGGGAAATCGGACAAAGGTTAACAATATTTTCGTTTTTTTGGTTATATGAGGAAATTGGAACAAAATCAATGTAGATGTAAGAAGAATTCAATCAATCTTTTCACGTTTTGAAATCAAATATCATCCTAGCTGTAGTTTGTGATTTGGAAAAAAATTCATTCGTCTTTGGATTTCTAGTTTTGTCTGAGTGAATCAACTTTTTCTGATTCTACCTGAAACTCTTGATTGTTTTGTACATGTATATTCTACTTCTCTAACACTTTCTTTTACTTCTCTAATAATACTTTCTTGAATTGTGTTCTTGATATTTTGTCGATTTCTTCTCTTACGTCGTTAATTAGTCTTTTCTTTCCCCTTCTGAAATTTTGAGGAATTGCATTCCTTCACTAGAATAAGATTCTTTGAAAATTTAAATTTTTTTTTAGATGTTCAATCTTCGGCTGTATAATTTTTATTTACAAAATTACTCCCATCTGACACTCAACGAATCCGCCTATAGAGAAATTAAGTTTGTCTTTTACCCAGAAAATTATTGATTATTTAAACAAATTCAGTAGATCTACTAAAAATATAACGATATTCAATTCAAGAGATATTTAAACAAGTATTTAGCATGGTAATTGGGTTTGTAACAACACTTATTATCTTTCCTTTTGCTTATTTTCCCCTCTAAAAACTTCTCGGGGTTGTTAGTTTTACGAATTATCTCACAAATGCTTGAACTTTTCACGAAACAAAGGGCGGAAAGAGAAATATTTTGATTGTGTAGGTAATCGCTTCTAACGTTATCATTTGTTATTTTTGTTTACGAGAAAAAATTTCATTGTAGTTTTTGATTTAACGACCGTGAAAATCTTCTTAATCACTAAACACCTGAGAAAACCTGGGTGGGAAGCTTTTCGTGCCTCACCCTGTATGATCAAATGAATATTAAGGTCTGTTTTTTTTTAGAGATAAAAGTCAAAATGACATTATGTTGGCAATACAATGTAAAATTGCCAATGCTTTCAAATTTTCCATGTAGAAAAGGCTTGTGTTGGCAACATAGTTACTAAATTTTTGACTTGGGGAATTATTTAAAAAGAAAAACAGACTTTTCCTTGACAAAAATCAACCACATCCATTCCAATTATTAGAAAATATGACCTAATTTTAGGAGAAACAAAGGATGCATAATCTTGTTCTAAGAAAGGAGAAAATATTAATTAGTTGATCTGAAGGTGATCGATCCTTTGGTCCAAGAATCTTAATCTTGACTCAAAGCCGCATGATCTTTGTAAATGTACATGATTTTACTAACCTCAAAGACATTTCTCGAGAGAAATAAATAAATATTCTAGCGGTAATTGAATAATCTTCTGGTAAAATAATTTTACTCACTTCAAATACGAACCATCTTCTGTCGAGAAATAATTTCTCGACTCAAGAATCAATATGTGGCCTTTGAACTAGATCCATTCATTATTTTACAACTCACCCTAAATCACGCCCCAAATCTGATTTTTAAATAGTGAAATGAGAATACCCAAAATTTACATAATATTATTTAGGTTGTCGTGTGCTTCTGATATTTGGTAAACTTGTTGAGAATATCAGAAATTCACAGTTTGGTATTAGTGACGACATCTAGATACCTACTATAGAATATACGAGTTGTTTTGTCAAGTAAATAAAAGGTGTACTTAGTTGCATGTTGCATCGAGGTGACGTATGCCTTTTATCGCGAAAATGACCGTCATTTATTTAAACAGTGTACCCAAGCTTCTCGGTCGCGAGAACTTTAATGAATGATCGTTTGCAGTAGAAAATGTATTTGTCTTAATAGGTTTGAGCAAGTGCATTGATAGTAGCGAAGATTTTAGAAAGTGAGGTTACTATCGGCCGTTCAGGCACCTTCGGCAGTGCCTTCACTTCTCCAAGTGAAAATTGAAAAATTTGAGACCATGTTGTCCTGGAAACTCAGAGCAAATCTGGCCGCCTTTCCAAGGAAAGTTTGTGTCCTGTAAGAAGTTGATCCCCAACCATTATTTGGTTGTCTCCAGCCAGTTTGGTACTCCAGAGCTCAAAATTGTGAAAACTTTCGAGGCTCTACAAGGATTCCGTCCAGGCTTGTATGATTACTTACCTATGGGTGTCCTCAACGTGCCATCATAACTATCGTAACTTATTTTTACCTTTTCTTTATCGCCCCCTATCGTTTAGCTTTATTAGCTAATTAATGTCATTGTAAATTCAATTACCGACTTAATTTGTTTACCGTATAGTAGTGTTTAGCTAGAGTAGCTAAATACCGTTTAAAATTAATTATTAATTTAATTAATTAATTATTATCAGAGTCAGCTATTGGCTTTTATTATCGTTTTCTCAATAATTATTTATTATCCAATAAGTATGCATTATTGTGATTATTATAAATTTATTTCCGTAATATCGAGTACTGATCGATATGATATATTGTGGATTCATTAACCTTTAAAAGGTTAATTTAACTTTTAATTTCAAATCAATAATGTGGTAGTTTTACAAGGTAAACCAATGTAAAATCTTTAGGTAGTCAAATTTGAGGTTTATGTTCATCTACCTATTTTGAACTTTAAAGGTAAGAAGGTAGAGCTCTTCCGGAAACCGTGACCCCTTGATTTCATCTTGCAGATTTTTGATATTTATAACTGCCTAGGGATTATTTATTACCTTTCTGCATTGATTAATTTGTTTTTTATTTATTTGATTGACTTTAAGTCAAAAATTAAAGGATAGTTTTATTTTGACTTCTACATTTATACTTAGGTAATTCTCATCGTATTTGATTGTTTTTAAATTTCAATCTTTTTATATACCTTTGAATTAAGTTTTGCTTCCGTAAGCTGTTTAATTTTTTTTTTAATAAAATTGGATACTGAACAATATTCACCTTTGAACAATTTATTTGTTTCAATGTTGATAAACAACAAGTTTGCCATCCGGCCAATAAATTATTGTTTTTAGAATTCCAAAACTTGTGTTTTTATTGAAGGGTTGGATGTCAGATAGCTATTGGATTTATTTTACCTTTTCAGATTTTTAAATTTATCTTTTAAAATAATGGCTAATTATTTGATTAGTGTCTAGTTTGGCTATTCTTTGGTCATCAATATAATTTTATACAAACTAGTGGCACCCCCTTTCTTTACTGTACCAACACTAAGGACCACCCCAAGCTAAATAACCACTGGCATAGTCGAACACAATTATGAGCATTCTTTTGTTACGACAAAAGAGCGTTACAAGGTTTGCCGACTAGCTTCCAAAGCAGAGAGGGGTGTGGGTTAATTAAAATTACTATAACGCCATCTGCTATTCCCTGCAGTTTTTACAAGAAGTCCATCGATATCACCAATGCAGGAAACTTCTAAATTATCTCTAGCAACCCAACCTGAAATATAAAAGTGAACAACAAAAAGGGGAAAAGGGCAGAAATTGAAACGCTTTTCTGAAGATAGGTACGGGTTATCTTTTAATACTAACGTCAATGACCTTAAAAATAGAATAATTGTTCAAAAACTAAATATCTTTGGTGTACTAAAGGCTGAAGGATTGGCAAAATGTCACAGTGGGAGAACTGCGACAGCTCTACTTGTGACAAGATACCCAGTGTAGGCGTTTCGCTAGGTTTGATGGTTACAAGACAAAACAATACAATTATCAAACCTGAATAAACACTGATTCGTTGAAGGGACCCTCGGGGTCTGATTGGTAGTTCGCCAGTGGTTCTGATGGCCTGAAGCTGGATCAGACTAGTGACAATATGGAAGTCAGTGGTGCCATAAAGGGGTTCAACAGGTTGGTACTTAGGTTCTTAGCAGCGTAATGGTTTACGTAATGGTCACAAACAGGACTCAAAGCTTAACGTGTAGATGATAGGAGGTAACTTGAAGTACCTAGATGGAGAAAACTTAAGGCGGCTCAACTCCGAAAGGTCAAAGCTTGAAGGTTGAAGCTTGGATATAAAAGCCAAATCTCGGTCACTTACGCATTTATGGTAGTACAATCATGGTCCACGTTCCGAAAGTGAATAGAAACAAGTGGTAACATAAAGGTCGATTCACACATAGCAGTGACGTGATAGTACCGTGACCAACACGTGATTTCACCGGCGAAGTCAAAATTATTCTTGTAGGAATTTGATGGTACCTATTCCCATCTGCTCGACGCGCGACCGTGACAGTGCAAACAGTGCTATTGCCGGCACCGTAACGTGATTGTTATATTAGTTCCTGACGTTATTTTTGGATTCTCACAGCCGCGCACAAATTGAGTTGGTCCATGGTTATTCCGTTTTGTATGACCTCTGCAACTCAAAATACATGGAGTCTGATTTCAAGAATGCTATCTGGAGGGAGGCATACTTTCTGAAATAAACTTCTATCTTGCATAACAATAGGTTGAACAAATTTTCTGACATCCTGAAGTATTCAAAAAATTTTGCTGCATTTTCTACTAGTTCTCTGTACAATGTTATAAATTTCCCTTCTGTACCTCTCTTTTTCCATGCAGGATGGATCCAGTGTCGTTTTTCTACCTGTTCTTCTACTTGTTCTTCCATTTCTTCGTCCAAAACCAGTGCGATCTGCAAAAGTTCTTCATCTGAAAATATTTCCATTTGGCTATAAACTATACTGACACGGCACTGATGAAACGCTGACCAATATGAATAGAAATCACTGTGAGTTTACGGCCGGTGAAATCACGTGCCGGTCACGGCACTGTCACGTCACTGTTATGTGTGAATCGATCTTAAAGCAGTAATGTACATTCTTGTAGGATATGACGGAAACACTAAGCAGGGCTAGATGTTGTAATTCTCACACAAGAAAAGCAATTACGAGTAGTGATGTGCAAACTATGGAAAATGTCAATATACATAATAATGCATTGGGTGAGCAGGTTGAACCAGAGGTTCCAGATTCAGTGGGGGATGCAATCACCGCTGATGAGTCATTGACAGATGAATTTTCTGACCAATCTGTAAATGAGGAAATCATGCCATTAGCAAATAGCTTTGACAGACACTACCACCCTGAGTATAAAGAAGGTCCAACAGTTCTCGAAGAGACATCAAGAAGGTCAGAGAGATCTCACAAAAAAAAAATTGTTTGAAGAGTATGTCACATCCCTGTATGCAAGTGATGTTTCTGAAGTACCAGACAGTCCTGATCTACCCAGAACAGTATCTGAGACGCTTTCCAGGCCAAATGGACGAGAGTGGAGGCAGGCCATGGTAGAGGAAATAAACTCATTTGAGGAAAATTAGTCTTAAGAGTTGGTAGACCCACAAGAACATGGGACAACAATAGTGCAATGCGTAAGTGGGTGTTTAAGTTAAAGTGCGATGGTGATGGTAAAGTCAATTATAGAGCAAGGTTAGTAGCGAAAGATTAAACTCAAAGAGAGGGTGTGAATTATACAGAAGCCTTCGCTGCTGTTGTAAGACACTCAACTTTTAGGGTTTTAATTGCATTAGCTTTACAGTTGGATTTTAAATTTTTCCATTTTGATGTTAAAACTGCCTTTATTAATGGTGTATTGAAGGAAAATGTATACATGACACAACCTGAAGGTTTTATTTTAAAAAATCAGCAGAATAGAGTATTCAAATTAAAAAAGGCTATGTATGGTTTAAAACAATCAAGTAGAGCTTGGAACCAAAAAGTTGATCAAGTTTTGTTAAATATTGACTATAAAAAATTGAACCTTGTTTATACGTTGAAAAACGAAATAATGGCTTGTCAACTGTAATACCGTTATATGTAGATTTCTTTGTTTTTTTCTAGTGACTTAGAAGGAATTGCATTTCTTGAGAACAATTCAAGTTCAAAATTTAAAATTAAAAATCTTGGAGAAGCCAAAAAATGTTTAGGAATAAGGATCATTAGAGATTACAATAAAAATTTTATACTTAACTATTGATCAAAAGGACTATATTAGTGAATTACTAACGCTGTGAGCTTACCCAGTCATTACCTATAACAATTGCTATGCTGAGTTGCATTGGCAATCAGCAAAAATATTGTTAAGGTACTTGAAAAGTAGCAGGTGCAAATTTGCAAGGGATTCTGCCAAACTTGTTATATAGTCAGTTGTTAGTTCATTTTCCATTTGTTCAATTGGTATGGCATAATTCAAATTCCCGTTTAATCACTTGAAAAGGGGTATGTTTCATTGTTCTATGAGTACTGTTGTTTTAATTATTCAATATAGCGATTGTCATTAGATCAATAATACTCTTATTCGGATTTTGGAGTTTTAAACTCGTTATACTTCCACTAAGTGTCGAATGAAATCTTTTGAATGGACTATTCGAGTTCGGATTTCTTGGAGTTGTATAATGAAGCTCAATTTTGTATAATGTACAAAGATCTGTCATTATAGCATTTTTGAACTCTGCTCCATTAACTGATGTGAATTTTTGTGGTATTCCGTGATTACTAAAATATTTCAATAACTGTGATCTTTTCAGCTGTTTTTGTATTTACAGGAGAGGCTTGACCAAAGTTTAAAAAGCTATCAATAATGGTCAGAAATTTCTGGTTATTGATTATATACGTGTCAATGTAAATATTTTCGAAAGGTTTCGTACCAATGGGTGTTGGTTTGAATATGATTTTGTATGGTTGTCGTTCATACTTGGTTTTACTGTACGTCTTTCTCGATATTGGGCCAATAGAATCTTTTCTTTAAGGCTGCAACATTTTCAGTGATTCCCTCGGTGATTCCTCTATGAGAGATTTTAGTCTCATGGTATTACTGAATTTTCTCTAATTGAAGATCAACTTCTGTAATGTCATGTACCTAAGTTTAAAAAATTATAGGTACCTACTACTAACCTATAAGGTAGGAGCCCATTATTATTATTGATATTCGATAATTTATTTTTTCTACTGACGTTTCATAATACGCCTAAAATCTGTTTCATAATGAACTTCATTATGATACAGATTTTTCAGCCACTGGAATCGAGTATTTAGACAATGAACAATGTTTATATGTAAAAATGACAGACTTGCTTTGGAATTTTGGATTGTTTCTAATAATGGAGTATCTAGAGATAGATAATACTATGGTGCCACATGATGTAGTGCCCATTGTAGGGGATGATGTAGTGCCCACTGTAGTGGATGGTGCATGCTTCTTTCGGTATTGTACTATATTATGCTTGGCACAGAAGTTCTCCATAAAGAAATACGTGATCAGAAGTTGAACACGTTGCCGCCAACTGGGAGAAATTCCACATTAGATCACATGATCAACGATCAATATGGGCATAACTATTCAAGCGCCAATGCATATTTTCAAGGTATGTCTCAGTACAATACGTATACCAGAACCTCTTTGTAGTTAAATAACGACGATGACTCCGTTTCGAGCAAAGCAAGTTGATGAAGATGGCTTCATGCCAACCTTTAACAAGGTTAAGTATACCACTTGATTGGTGGACTTTTGCCACATTCTCAACAGGATCTCAAATTTTTGCAGATGTATTTCGTGGGTGAAGATGATCGGGAAGCGCCCCTAAGATGCAATAATTTCCAGGATGTCAAAGAAAATTTGATTAAAGACTTGAAGCATATGCTACATCTTTATAATAAATATATTACAGAACTAAAAGCTACTTTGGAGATTGCTCCGGGACATTCTGATTTTCAGGTAATTATTCATGCTAAAAGAAAACCGATCGATGGTCATGAGGACGGTTCAATGCACCGACAACTAACGAAATAGCTTTAGTTTTGGTGGGTGAGCAGTTTCAAAAGCGCGACATAATCTTGCATAGTCGCACTAATACATACAATAAGCAAGCTTCTCCGATCATACGACTCTCTCCAATACCCACTTCTTTTTTGCAGTGGCGAAGATGGCTATTCAACTGATATCCCACTCTTATGATTCAAAAACTAAAATGCATACTCATAAAACAGTTTCTGCCGCTTCCTTTCATTCATATCGACTAATGGTGAGATCAGGGGAAGTTAACTATCTACTGTACTTTAGAGCTCCTTTCAGTCAATTTATGGTGGATATGTATGGCAAAATTGAAAGTCAACAGTTAAAATACATAAAAATGAACCAAGAAAAACTTAAAGCTGAAAACTACATACATCTAAAAGATGCTGTTGGCAGACAAGATGTTGAAGCTAATCAGGTCAAGTTGTTGTTCTTCCATCTTCATCTACTGGTGGTACTAGGTAGGTACATGCATGAAAAAACCCAGGATGCTATGACATATGTACGTTATTATTTCCGTCCTGATCTTTTTTTACATTTACATGTAATCTCCGTTGGAAGGAAATCCAAGACGCCTTACATCCTGGTCAAAAGCCACACAATCGTCATGATATAGCAAGAATATTTCACTTGAAAGTCAAAGTTATGATGCATCTTTTAAGAAAAAGACACCTGTTTAGGGAAATCCGGTAATTTATGTTTTCTGTGGAGTGGCAAAAACGAGGATTACCTCATATTCACATTTCGATTTGGCTGAAAAATTGTATTTCTCCAGACAAGATAGATCAAACTATTTCCGCAGAAATACCAGATCTCCATAAAGACTCTATTCTTTATGAAATCATCAAGTCCAATATGATACACGGTCTTTGTGGAAACATTGATTTGAAGTCTTCTTGCATGAAAGATGGTGTATGCAGCAAACGATACCCATGACCACTTTTAAAAGACACTCAGAGGATGACGGTTATCCTCAGTTAAAGATCTTCCTCAGATAAAGGTTTTACTGTCGAAATATATGGTTCGCAGTTAGTGCAACAAAACAGCCTATAACGCCTTTGCAGTGTCTTATCTTTCGAATAACTGTACTAAATTTTGAAATTCCTTCTATTATGACCTCGTAAATTGGCAGCATTAGAAGCGTTCTTTGTTTATCCATTTATTTTTTAGATCAGTGGTTTTATCTCACTTACCAAGAGCTTGGCTTACTGGAAGATGACAAACATTGGGACGATACTCTTCGTGAAGCTGCATTGTGTGATTCACCTGCCAACATGCGGGAACTTTTTGCAGTAATGTTGGTGTAGTTGTTGGTGTTCTGGCATGTATCTTATCCCTCGGTTGTTTGGCAAAAATACAGCGACAACTTTTCTGAAGATTTTATGAACCAGTTCAATCCAAGGCAAATTCTAAAATATCAAGGGTATGGCATACAACAAGTCTCTGATAACGGTCGAAGATGCTGTGTTATCTTTAGGTGATAAAATTTTGACAGAATATGGTTTACCACAGATTTTCCGATTGCAAAATCAAGGTACTGAAAACAGAGAATATTTACGACAGACCAGCTACGACAAAATTACTCTGGCTCAATAAGTATTACAAGATGAAAACTCTTCAACAAATAAGCAGTGTATCAAAAAATTCTTATTACCGTTGATACAACCGCTGAGCAAGTTTTCTTCCTAGATGCAACGAGAGGTACTGGAAAGATATATCTAATTAGCTCATTGCTAGCAAAGATAAGAAGCAAGGGTTGAATGACCTCTAGCTACCGCTTCCTCAGGTATTGCTGCTACAGTACTAGAGGAGGGTAGAACGGCACACGCTGCATTTAAGCTTCCACTTAATTTCATGCGCCAAGTTTGTAATGTGTCTTTGGTGCTCAAAGAATATGAGCTGATTGTTTGGGATGAATGCAGTATGGCTCACAAGAAATCTATTGAAGCACTGAGTAGACCCTTCAAAGATATTAAAGAAAACAACGGCTTGAGGAGGTTGTCACAGTTTTACTTGCTGGAGACTTTAGACAGACATTGCCAGTAATACCAAGAGGGACACGCGCAGATGAAATAAAGGCATGCCTCAAATCTTCCTTTCTGTGGACCAAAATTCAGAAATAGACAAATATGAGAGTTCAGTTAGGAGATAACGTATCGAATGCAGCTTTCTCAAAGTTACTGCTTCAAATTGGCGATGGAGATTTTCCTTCAGAAGAGAACCTGATTCTTATTCCAACTGCTTTGACTTCTGTTGTTAATACTTTACCTGAACTTATTGCTAAAATATATCGAGACGTCAAAAGTTTGCAAGAAAAATCTACCACTTGGTTATGCGAACGTGCCATTTTGACACCAAAAAAGTAACCGCTGACGCTGTTAATCAAACCCTTAGAAAATCATCCGAGGGTATCCAAATGAAATACAAATCTGTTGACTCTGCAGTTGATGTGGACGATGCTGTTAATTATCGGGTTAAGTTTTTGAATAGTTTAACCCCTTCTGGACTTCCAGATCACTTACTTCTTCTTGAAGTTGGTGCGCCAATAATGTTAGAAACCTCTGAATCCTCCAAAACTATATGGAATGATACGAGACTTCGAATTGAGGTTTTGCATAAAAATGTAATAGAGGCTAAAATACTTACCGGTACTGGTCACGGGGAGTTAGTATTTATACCCAGACTTCCCCTTAACAAATTAGTTTCGAAAGCTTGACATTATACAAGAGTTTTACTACTCAAAATAATTTTTGATCGATATATCTTTTATTATTATATTATAGAAAAAAAAAATTACTTCAAGCAAAAGCAATAGGTATATTGAAAAAAAGCAATAAGTAAGGAATAACTCAGTTTTTTGAACTGTAGAAGTTTATTTCTCAATCAATATCCCAATTCAATTAAGTCATTTTAAGATTAAATTAAACTGAAAAATAACTCTAAAGCCAAACATTTATCCACCTTATGAGATGACCCAAAACTATTTCAAACTGCTATAAAGTTGAGAGACTGCATAGTCCTGAAATAATATCATTAACAGTGATTAATAATGAGTAGGTACAATTTAGGTATATACAACAAAAGCAGAAGTTTCAGATGTTAGATGCTGCTTAAATGTATTTCAGAAACACAGAAAATTATATTCTATACTCTCTTTTGAACAACAATCAGCAACTTTTCCTCCTAAATACACAATGTAACAATTTGAGATTTAAAATGTTAGTTCAAATGGCAACAATAAAGTGCAACTTTCCGGAGCTATTAAATAATTAACGACACCAGGTGGCGCTTTCATAATTCCAGGCAAATTATTGCAAAATGTTTCGTAAATATTTAAAAGGGGTATTTTAGAACAATCCGCCCGACTCCGGCTCTAATAATTAAAGTAATAACAATAAGCGGACGATTAAATTTAATGAATACATTAATTTGAACTAAACTCCAACTTGCTAAAAATGTTTCAAATTAGTTGAACGTTATATTTTGCTTCTGCTATATTTTGTCAGTGTCGGGGGGTTTTTCTTTGGCAACTCAATTTTATTTATTAACGGACCTTTTTCTCGGCTCTATTTCAACTTCCTTTTGGGATGCGAGACGTGATAGACCCGAAAAATGTTGTCTGGTATTACATGATTTTGGAATTTTAGTCCCACACGGCGTGGTGTTGAAATATTGGATTTTGCAAGATAAACTGCTCGAAGAAATGAGGGTAATCTGTTTTGAAAAAAGATAAGTAGTTAAGAATATAAATAAGTATACAAATGAAGCTTAAAACGCGTGAGTTTAAAAGAAGAAAATTCAAATAATTATTTCCTGTTTCCAAGAAGTTTGTACCTTTGGCAGATTAAGAGCCAGCACTTACTGAATAATTATGCAACATTTTCATAAAAAACTAACAAATAAACCAGGTATACAATAAACTATTTTGCAATAACAATCGTTTTCAAACCTACTAAAGCAATTTAGTAGTACAAAGTTGGTGGAAGCTTTAAAGCTAAACAGCGCAAAGCAGTTTTTGTGTTTCGCTTTGTAAACTTTACTTTAAATTCGAGAAACAGTTGCATTTTATCGTTAGCTGTATAGTTCGTGCCGCGGCAAAGAAATACTATTGTTTAAAAGTTGAATTAAATCAAGCTAAATAATAGGTAATAATCCGGTAAATTCAAATATTTCAAAATATTATCCCTCTTTGCTCCTAGAAGAATCGAAAATGAGATTTGCATACTTCTGTATTTAAATTCACCTACAAATAAGCTTTATATGCTACTTTATCTCAACTTTAAAACTATAAATCAGAGTTTGAAATGTTGGCTTTGGTACCTAAGTGCACGGTTTATAAAATAATGTATACAGGGTGTATCAGGTATGACTACAAATATTTTAACATGAGATAATATGGCCCATTTCAAGCTAAAACTGTCCTATTAACGAGATGGCTCCATTTGTGCTACTGTGCATTTGTGCTAATCCGCAAATGGTCTACTCACGAACGCGATCGGCTATGATCGGGATCAGTTAACATGATCGCGGAGGAGTAGCAAGAGTAGTTGAAGCTTATGAAGGTTTTGTGTACGCGGCGGGCGCGCGGAACATCTGGTGTAATCAGCTGATAATAATAAAAATAAATTAAAAAATGTATTTGTATTTAGTGAATGATTGTGGAGTTTATTTTTATTAACTATAGTCTACAGTAGAGTTAAGATTTTAGAAATATATAATATACTTATTTATTAAAGCGTAGAGTCCTTGTAGAGTTTATACAGACGTGTAAAATTATTTATAAATGTAAAGTCAATAATACATATACCTATCAAAGTATCTCCCCAGATTTAAAATCATATGGGGTTGTATTATTTATTGATTTCCCAGAATATTAGGTCAATAAACCTAGCAGTCCCATATGGAAAAAAACGAAGGGATTGCTAGGTTAATATGAAATATAGCAGTCCCCTGTAGTGAAAAATATTTTTTTAAATTTTTCTTTGGTATCAGAATTTAGATAATATGCTTTTTAAAGTTCTCCTAAATACCTGGTCAAAGAAAAAATTGAATCAGTTAATTATTAACTGAATTACAGATTTTTTTTCAATATTAGGAAATTCCTGGATTCACGTTTACTTATTGGGGGTGTGTTAGAGGCTTACAGCCAATTTCATAATCAACTTAAAGTAAACTTTAAATATAAAGGTCCATTTGAAGTAGAAAAATCCCATCCTAAAAGTCTATTTAGCTAAAGTAACTTTTAATTCTCTATCATGAAATTGGCCGTTAAACCGTTAAAGGCTGAAATGTTTTTGGATTGAATTTAGGTACCTACTATTTAAGTGCTCCTAAATTGTCAAAGAAACACTTGAATCTGTTAATTATTAACTGAATTACAGTTTTTTTTCATTATTGGCTTCACGTTCAGTTGGTGGTGTGTCAGAGCTAAAATGTTTATGGATAGGAATTAGTGCTATTTAAGTGCTTCTCAATATTTGAAGAAAAACTTGAATCAGTTAATTATTAAACTGAAGTACAAATTTTTTTTTCATTAAGGAATTGCTGGCTTTACATTTACTTGGGGATGTATTTGCATTGCAGCGAATCTGAAAACTGCGACTAAAATGTTGTATTGGAATTTGGTGCTATTTAAGTGCTCCCAAAAAGTTGAAGTTTTAGATAGTTCAAGTTTTTCTTCGACTATTCAGGAGCACTAAGATAGCACCTAATTCCAATTATTACAACATTATAGCCACTGTTATCAGTGTTATCAGTTTCGCTGCAAATATTTACACCCCCAAGTAAACGTAAGGCCAGTAGTTCAGTTCCCTATAATAATACAAAAAAAATCTATAATTCAAATAATATAACTAATTCATGTTTTTCTTTGACTATTTAGGAGCACTTGAGCACCTAAGTCCTATCCAGAAAAAATTTAGCTTTTAACCACCAACTAGTTAAACGTGAAGCCAACAATTTCCATTTCCTAATAATGAGAAAAAATCTCTATTTAGTTTAATGATTAACTGATCAAATTTTCTTTGACTATTTGGAAACACTTGCATAGCAAGAATCATAAACTATAGGATTGCTTTTCCTTATAAGGCGTACGTTCGCCAATTCTCGAGTCGGCAAGGCCTGCGAGTGACGTTAGTACTATTAGCAGCATAGCCTCTTATAGTGGTGACGTCACCCGCAAGCCTCGATGGGATGCTTGCGATTCAGGTTGTGCTTGTTTCTTCATCGATTTTAAATGTAGAAAAGGTGATTCCTGGTAATGAAAAAAATCTGAATGACTGTTCTTCTTCGACTATTTAGGAGCACTTGGATAGCTTATTTGCTAATTCCTATCCAGAAACTAGCTTCTGCACACAGTGGCTTTACACTCGGTAAACTCCGAGCAGTCCGAGCGCGCTCCAAACATTAAGATAGCGAAAATAGAATTCAACTTCTGGAATCTCTTTCTCAGTGAAAATGTTCTATCTTTGATTGTTGAGTACCCGAATCAATACATAGAAATTGTAAAACCGAAATTCATCAGATGGTTCAATTTTTTTATCAATGATTTAGTATATGTATCTCTGTGATACAGCGTGACTAATGATGTTATAAAACTCGCGATGGAAGGTTAAAATAAATTAATATTTAACCAATAAAATATTAAAAGTTAAAATTTTCCATTTTTAAAGTAAACAAAACACCACACCCACTCAATACTTGAAAAATATCGAAATAAATTCTATTTTCTATTTTAAATACCCGCCAGATGGAGAGGGAACGGCAACGCTGTACCCATTTGCGCTACAACAACTGCATTCGTTTCGATGAGGGTCATACTCCGGTCGGACTTCGGCTCGTCCGACGTTCCCGCCCGAAGGCGACTTCGGGTGGGTAGAGCAAATGAACATTAGCACAAATGGGGTGATCCCCTATTAACCATGGGTCAATTGTTAGTATTTTCGGAGTTATCGTAGAATTAAAATTAAAAAAAATGGTAACAACGTGACAACATTGTACAGGTATTAGGTATCTCTGCCAGAATATAAAGGTAAATAAAACTGGTGAATTTAAAAAGGTTTTTTATTGCACGGAGTTTATTTATTTTCATCTGTTTATGTTTTGGTTTGTTATTGGCTAATTATATTTTCGATTCATAAACTTGTATTTTAAAAAACATTTATTTTATTGATTAAAATACAGAGGTGACAAAAGAAAATATTCGGATCAAATTGCTACAGGCTAAAGCCAGAAAACAAATGAACGTTCCTTATGGGACCGCATCGGCTTAAATAATCATTTAATGCCGACATAGCAATTTGATGTTTACTTTACAACAATGTATTTAAAAAGTCCTAGAGGAAAGGGGTAAGCACATTAAAGCATA